CACCCTACCGCTGAAACAACATGTATGTGAACAGAAGGACACCTGTGATGATATTGTTTCATTGTACTGTGAGTGGTGTATACATGCCACCTGAATGTGTAGTAACAATAAAGTGATGTTGCTGAGTGAATCTGTGTTTACTAACCTCCACTAAGCCAGCTGCCAAATAATAAGGCTGTCGGAAACAATACAGATAGATGATGGTGTGCAGCAGAGGATGAAAGAAGCACTGCTTAAAATCGAAATCTTTATGAAATCACCCAATAATATGTAAGATTATCCCATCGATGCATTCAATGGCAGTCTCAGTGTATTTTTAAATAAAAATAAATAAAGGTGCTGATGTTTAAGGATGGAAGAGCTGCTTCATCACACATAAATATATGTATCATTAGTTTCAAATGTTCTTTTCACCCTGCAACGTCTCCTGCAGTTTTTTTTTTTTTTTACAAACTTGCAAGGTCCGAAGCCCAATTTGAAATCTGGCAACCTTCTGCCACCCACGCAATCCTTTAATCATAACTCTGATTACTGCATGAAACTACGATGGAGTGTTTTCTTCTCGGTGATTTATTTTGATTTGCTTGTTGAAGTTCTGTTGATTGATTTGCTCGTTAAAGCCGATTCTCTCTTATGAGCTTTACGTCTGCCACCTACGATAAGAAGTCATTTAAATTTCATGGGTTCCTCTCGCCCTATGACAGCTGGAATAGGCTCCAGCGCCCCCCGTGACCCTGAAAAGGATAAGCGAAAGCGAATGGATGGATGGGTTTTATTTTAATAGTTGTGATTGCTTTTTGTTTTTAATTGTAAAATGCACCTTCTTGGCCAGCAAGCCTGCAGGCCTAACTTCAGCACCCACTAGGGGGCTGCAGCAACCACTTTGGGAATCGCATAATCTGAAACGGAGGCCGTACATGTGGCAGGATTGACGCTTATTCCTAAACCAGCAGTTTATGTGCTCAAATCATGAAATCAAGTTGATTATTTGAGTCTGATTGTTTCAGTTCTGTGAATGTGAAGCTCCAGTTAAGATTTTAGCTCTTGTGTTAACAACAGACATGAAAAACACACAGATCTATATAAAATATCAGAGTGCTTTTTCTTTTTCTCAAAGCGTCATTACTCCCTTCGTGTAGATGACAACAGTGATCAAAGTAAAAGAGATTAGTATTAATCTGAATGACTTGTGCTGATTAGTGTCACCTAGCCAGTCAAAACAAGAACAGAGTCTTTAGAATAAGACACACACCTGTGTAGAGATAATTAACTGACGTTTTGTTCATAGTGTTATGGGCCCCTTTGTTAAAAACCCAGAGGCTTTGCTTTATTTATTTTTTAATATTAGATAAACCAAGCAGGACGCCTTGCGTGGCAGAATTTAGCCCCCGTCTGGTTCGGCATGCTGTGCAGTAGCAGCAGCCACTCTGTGACTCGCACATCTGGAGATGGGATTAACTGCAACGTGGAGTGTTTTTTAACCAAAGAGCTCTAGAGCCGCTCAGTGTGTGTTTACGTGATTACACGTGTGTGTGCGCGCGCACGCGCGTCCATGTGCGCTGGTACATCTGTGCTTCGTTTTTTTTCTCTCTCTCTGTATAATTCTACTCCAAATCTCAAGGATTTCTCCTCCAGTTGCCACCTACAGCAGCAAACCCAGCTCCCTGAAAAACAACAAGGCTGTTATTTCTCTCAGGCTCCCAGATCTCATAACAGATTGGAAAGCAACAACTTAGTCTAAAGGGTTTATTAAGTTCATAGATGCAAGTCTGGCGTCAGCAGGCTTGGGAGATTTGGTTGAGAGCACTGCTGATATGACAGAACCGCGGCTGCACTAATCATTAACAATTACCCCCACAACAACACAGGCGGGCGCTGCGTGTGGATAGTGGTGCATGCGTGTCAAGAGGCTCTCAGAAAATCTCCTTGATAGTCTATTTCCAATCAAAACAGGCTTGATGCTGAGTGCTGGCAAAGTACCTAAGTACCTGAACATTCTGTACAAGTCAAACAGATTACGCTTTGCGTGTCTGAAATACTTCCACTGACTTATCTCGTGGAAGAAGTGATCATTTAATACCCCGGCTTTAATCTTTGCCAAGACTACGAAACGTGATGGAAACAGCCGCATGAGAATGTGAGCGGACTTAAGAAAACAGGAGCAATCTCCCAGGTTTATCTAAAACACGCCACTAGATGTCAGGTTTCTCCTGCACTGCTACCTAAAAACCTCAAGTGAGAAGGGTTGATAAATCACATCAAACAGGCCACTTCATCTTGCAATCTTTATCTGGGGCCCAAATCAGGTGAAAATAGCTGGCTGAACAAACATCATTTATTACCTAATACACAACAGGCATTTAAGACCTATGCATCATTAACTTAAGACATTGTGTAACTGATTAACAATGCTGTCTCTGATGAGAGAGCAAGTTAATAACTGAGAGATCACGTAGATGTTTCCCCCCTGATACCTCCACACTCGGTCTATTTAAAGATGTTTTAGTCTTCAGTTTGATACCTTCCTTTAGCGGGGTCATGAGCAACACCTAAGCCTTTGAACAAGGTAAGAGGCAACACTATTTTACTATATACACTTTTTTTTTTTAAATTCCAGCTTTTATTTCGATGTCTCATACATACTTTTAGAAAATCTTGCCAAGTAAGCTGACTCATACTGACAACATTGGCTAAATGCTTGAGAAAAGCCTGCATTTTTCTACAAAGCAAAACAAAATTGCAGCAACACTAATCGAGAAATTATCCATGTGAGTCACAGAGACAGCCTTAAACACAAACTTGCACGTAACGGCACAAGAGCTGAGACGGGAACGGTGGCAGACTGACAAACAGACGAGCGGGGCAGTTAGATTAGAGGATAACATTCAGTACACACGCTCACAAAATCAGCTCAGATACATTCAGAGTTTATCCTGCTGCAGTGGGCTGTTTCTCCCACATACAGACAGATGTACATATGTTAACGCAGGCCTCCGCGCGCATCTGAAACCTGCAGCAGGATGACACGCGCGGTAAGGATGATGCAGTGACTGTAATTACTGTAATTTCGGCTGCTGTAATTACTTCCATCCTCTTTGCTTTTAAGAGACATTAGTACTCCCTCCTCCACTGGAGTCCCCGAAGTGGAAGACAGAAAAAAAAGAAGGGTGGGATGGGGGTGGGGGTTTGGGGTGGGGGTGGGGTGGGGTGGGGGGATCTCTTCAAATCAAGAGCATGAAACCCTTTGAAGGACTTGCTCTATAGATGCTGGAGAGTCCCTTGAAGAGCTGGCTCGCAGCTGTAGGAAGTGGAAGACAGGATAAGCTACACGGATCCTAACGTGTTCTTCATGATCTGATGAGGTTGTTTAGTTGTTTGGGAGGTGAGACGCCTGACCTCACATCATGGATAGCTGCCAATTACATAACCACGTGGGCTGCCTTCGCTCTCTTCTAATTGCTTGTCTGTTGATCCCTGTACCTCTGTGAGAGATGGGCTCATATACACACTTGTTGGTCTCTGTTGGCTTCTTTTTCTTACTGCTGCAGGTGGCTGATAAATACATCCACTATCAGATCTGTTCCCTCCACGGTGGTGACATCCTGCGAATTTAATTGCTTGCATATCTCCACACAGCACTCACAGCGCCATGTCCTCTCGATCTATAACCATAGTGTCCTCTGGACGGAGCACGGAGCTCGGCTTCAGTGGTAACTCATTAGTTTAAATTCCCACCATTCTTGATTTATGTCTTTGAATTGCCTGACTCCTCTTCTGCTACCAGGGGTGAGAATACACTCGGCTCAGCTCCCCTCACATCCCAAACTCCCACTGGCGGAGGAGGACAGGGAGTCTGGCATCGGCTCCACCCTTGACCTCACTGGCAGCTTTGAGGGCTGTAACCAACATACCAATCACCACTCCGACAAACCCTCACTGATGGAGGCAGGCACATTCCCCGGGGAGAAAGGTACAAGAGAGGCATAAAGAGGAGAGTGACACATACATCTCCCACGCTGGCAGCAGGTTTAACCTCTTTGAGGCGGTAAATTACAACAGCAGGAGCAAGCCACAGGCTCATTAGATAAGGACATGCTCAGGAGACACACAGTGCCAGTGGGATCATGTGGCCTCTCACTCAGCAGTGTTTGGCTGCATATGGGTTATGAATGTACTTTGTCAGATGGCTTCTAGCTCTACATGTGAGAGGACACAGCTATCAGAGAGTCGAGCAGTGGCCAAAAACATGCTGCCGTTTTGTTTCATCAGATAAAATCCCTTAAAAAAAGATTTCAGTCTAACCGTCTCTTTGCTGTTTTCTCCAGACAGATCTCCTCAGACCTCAGCAGCGAGTCCAAACAAGATCAAGAAGGTCCTTATCAATCTATCCAAGATCCCTCTCCTCTTCCTCCTCCTCTTCCTCTTTGTTTGCTCCTTGGATACTCTGAGCTCTGCCTTCCAGTTAGCAGGGGGTAAGCGCTCTGACCCTCACTGCCCCATCAGCAGGTTCATAGTGACTCAGTCTGTTGATGTTTGACAAATAAGTGAGTCACCGAGCACCAGTTCACACCATCCTACTGGGCCCTGCTGCTGTATAATTTACTGCCGAGTTTGATCTGTGACCTTCTTGAAATTGGGGAAACAAACAGTTTGATTTTTGTTTAACATTGCTCTTGGCAACCTTGTGATTCCTAAGACTGGTATTTTTTTATGTGTGTGTTTCTGTGTATGTGGGCGGCATATCTAACCAGGTAAAGTGGCAGGGGACATTTTCCAGGACAATGCAGTGCTGTCTAACCCCGTGGCAGGGCTCGTGGTGGGGATCTTGGTTACTGTGCTGGTTCAGAGCTCATCAACCTCCACCTCCATTGTAGTCAGTCTGGTGGCCTCCGGACGTGAGTAGGCACATAAACGCATGTGCAAATGTGTGAGTGCCAGAATTCAGGTGTGTGTGCATGTGTGTTTATTGTACTGTCTGCACAGTAGGCTTATGTCTCTGCAGGTTATTATTTTGCATATATAGATAAGTTAATAGACAGAAAACAAAATCCATTACCGTAGCAATAAAACCAGAGAAAATAACACCCCCATGGCGCCTTATTGGCAGCAAAATCAATTTGCAGTCTATAGTTCAAATCGAAATTTTCTGCCTCAAAGTCCTATAACAACCCGTATTCCCTGTGGAGGGTTGAATCCATTATGATCAGTTTGTTATTTGGCATTAAGGATCAAATTAGCAAATAAAGTTTGGGTTACATTAACAAACTATACCAGAGGATTGTTCTTCAGAGAACAGGAAGATTTGCTTGCACACATTTCTCCACTAACTAAACTAGCAGATGAACAGCTAAGAGTGATGTTTCCTGTCATCTAGCATCTAAACAACCCCTTGAAAAATATTAAAACGAGCATTGTGCTAACTTTTCGCTCCATAACTCACATTCACGGGTTTATTAATCTCCTGAAAGTTCTAGGAAAGTCTATTGTAAATGATTTATTTGTTGCGTGCAACTTTTGGCTGCAGATTAATGCACCGTTGTTGCTTTTATTTTATTTTATTTTTAGCTTTCCACTATTTGGATGTTTATGTCAGTTTTCAAACTTGTATAATGAAAGAATGATTAATGTATAGTACTGTACACAAGTCTTGAGTTGCCCCTCATTTCATTACATTTTGATTCCAAAGATCTACATGTGGTCTTGAGCAATAGTTCTCCAGGCTTTCTGAAGGTCTCTCAAAGCATTTCATTGACTTTTCACTTACTTTCAGGTCAGTCCCCATACCTGACTGTTCTCAAAAGGACGTTTTTTTGAACCACTGAACACTGACCTATGAATCATTCAAGTTTAAAAAACACCACCTAACTGAAGGGGTGAACCAGTGTTATGTCTACGCAAATAGAAAGAAACAAATTGCACTTTGTTACAGACTGTCGCAAAAACATTTGTTCTTTTCATTTTTGAATCCACAAAAAACAAAAAATGCTAAAGATAATACAGCTGGACAGGATAAAATAGTAGTTTTCTGCCAACAAAGTAGTTTCCAAAGAGCTGTTAGCTGAAAACTCAGTGTGTCCTTAAAAATTGGGTAACCTGGACACGTGAAGGACAAAAGAAGAAGGCAGACCTAAAAAAACAACAACCCTATATACAGCAGACAAACAGTATCTGAAAATCATGGCCTTAAGAAATAGGAATGTAATCAATCAAAGATCTGACACAGGACCCGAGAGATGCATCTGGCCCTTCACCTGATCCAGCTACTGTTCAATGATGCCTCATCAGTAATGGTCTCAGTGGAAGGGTGGCTGTCAAGAAGCCATTTCAGAAGAAAGGAAAACAAACAGAAAAGGCTGAGGTATGCAAGATTACACAAGAACTGGACTAAAAATGAGTGGCAACAGCTCGTACAGAGTGATTAATCCAAATTTGACATTTTTGGTTCAAATCATCATCATTATATCCAGATGAGGTCATGAGAGAAGCACAAAGAGATTAAAACACAGTAAATGCTATGTGATGGTTTGGGGCTGCTGGAGATCTTTTTTAAAACTGATGCAATAATAAACCAAGTATTGTTGATTTTGATCCAGCTCAACATTATTGAAGCAGTCTGAGAACATCATGACAGACCAACATCCAAAGAAGAGCTTTAAATGTCCTGCAAGAGCCCAGAGAACTATTCCTGAGGACTGCTTAAAGAAAGAAACTCTGTTTTTGCCTTATATGTGTATATTTGCATGTTTCAATTAAACACTGCACCCATTTTCTATTTTCCTTGCAAAATATAAATAAATGAGAGGTGGCTCAAGACGCTAACTGAGACCCATTTCGAGATTCCAGTACTGCAGTTGCAATTTGTAAAAATGATGTAAAATAAGTGTAGTCTGACAGGGTGAAGCAAGATTAGAGGGGCAATCAAATCCAACCTTTCTTACTCTGGGTAATGTCTCATCATCTCAGTCAGCCTTGTGTAAGACCATTATGTGGTAAGGTTACAAGAAAATGTTCAGGCTTCTGCATGTAGGTCTTCCACTTTTGCTCTGGGTAGTTAAAGTGAATTACATCAGTATGCAGGAGTTGCTGCTCTGCTTCCAAAGATTTGTTTTAAATAAGAGAGCCATGAGGATGATTAGAGGTAATTATTGGAGACTGAAAGATATGGAAAGGCATAAATGTTTGTCTTCCTGACGTCTGCCCTCTGGGTCATCGCCATTAAAGGCGTATTCAAAAATAACCCATCTCCAAAGCCGTGTCACTTAGCCTAGAATTACAATCACCT